CAGCATGAACATTGTGCATGATATGAGAGAATAATTATGCTATGGGCCCACGCTTTCAGATTCTTCTTTATGATTTGAATTTTACAGTAACTTAAATAAGTGAAGCAAAAAATGGTTAAACAGTAAGAAATCTTAAGATTTTAAGTGCCAGTTTATAATTTAATAGCGACATAAAATACTTCAATATAAAACTGGTTGATTACAGAGTTTTGATGAGCCATCTTCAATGGTTCAGGGATGAATAAACATTGATTGTATAGTAAATAAGCAATTAAATGAGAGTACCTACTTATTGTACTGAAGTTGTGAACTAAAGTTGCGAAGTACTAGCAAACGCGAAAGGTCTATAAACCCTGTGGACATTTGGCAATGAATCTGTTCAGTAAGCAAGGAAAAGCTTTTGCAATTCTAATCCGTTTGAAGGCCCTCTATAAGTGTTATAATGCGATATACAGTAAATGTGGCACTAGAAGAGTATCGTAAATGGGGCGCTCTATGAGTGTTATAATGCAATTTACAGTAAATGTGGCACTAGAAGAGTATCGTTGGGTTTTAAATGCAGTAGTACCCTGCATACTGTGCCCTCGACGTCTGTTACCACTCGTAACAACTACAAGCGACTCATCAAAGAAATGCATACGGTTGCAATCAATCAATGAAATATTTGCTACGTAAGCTTCTAACTTCTCCATAACGTCCGGCCGTTCTATTTCTCGAGGAATTTGACTTATTGTCTTGTTAGAGTAACCAAGATCTTTTTTCGAAATTCTACTAATGGATGACCTGCTAGGTATGTTTGCTGGAAGGCAAACTTTGTTATTTTCTAGGTGTTGCTGAATCTCTTTAAATAGATGGTTTGTTAATTTTAGATATTCAGCGTATGCAATAGCGTCATCTGTACGCGTGGTTCGAACATCACGTTCGCCCTGGCGAGATGCAATAGAACCAGTGTCTACCCATAGATCTATTACATTTGATATAGTCTTATACGGTAGACTTAGTTGTTTCAAAATGTTTGTCAAACGCTGGTTATTTAACCACCTTTCAAGTATTTCATTTCTTACTTCTATCGCTAAAGCTTTTCCTTGCTTACTGAACGGTTTTATTGCCTAATGGCTACAGGATTTAAAGACCTTTCGCGTTTGCCAGTACTTTGCAACTTTAGTTCACAACTTCAGTACTCACACAACTTCAGTACTCACAACTTGTCAACTCAAGTTGACAAGTTCATATCGAATATTCCATATTTGGAAATGTAACCATTGATTGTATAGTAAATAAACAATTAAATGAGTGTACCTACATAATGATTACATATGAATGACATTCCGTTCAAATATATTCATAGTACTTATCAAAATATAGGATGTCTTTGAAGACTATTTTCCATCTCAATTGTGGTTAAAATCTTAAATTTTGAGGTTTATAAAACCATGCTATTGAAATTAGAGAGTATAAAAAGACTTTTCAGAACTCATTATTTATAAAAGCGAAGCTAAGTTGTGAATTTTAAGAGAGACAATATACATGGCATTGTACAAAATATCTTTGAGAAATCAGCTTGTAAAAACAAAAGAAATGGGTGAGCAATGCATGTTTATTAATGATGGAGAAAATGCATCAATTTAGTCTTCAAAAACTTACTTAATCATTATCTTGTAAATAAGACAGTTAAAGATACTTTCATTTGTGATGACAAATTTGTTTGATGACATAATTCTACGATTAATGAATTTATTTTGTTAATAATATAATTGAGTGATTTACTGAAACACAATACACCATAACCCAACATCCCTTGTATTTCTTCACGATAAAATAAATGCTTCATAAAATGAGCAGTTCACGTGTGCAACAATGAGCATTAGACGATGAATTTTCTGAAAAACAATCTTTGTCTTCTTTAGGTGTCTTTATCAGATTCAAATATACATGTATAATATGTGTGGTGTTCATGAGCAAGAATGTGCATTGTAAAACAGAGAACGAGACTACTAACAATAAACCAGGTACAAAAACAAATAATGATTTGAATCATGATGAAAAAAAGTTAACGTTAATATTCATTTTCTATAGTTTCAGTCCTCAAGGAAGAAGTTGTCTCAATTTATAATGAAAACTTCACTGACATTCCCAAGGACAGGGAGCCATATTATGTTAAGGTTCAACGATGTGTCATCGAAAAAGATAAAATTCCTATATGTTCATTATGTTAGCCCCAACCTATGACATTGACAGAAGTCGAGATTGTCGTTCCTGATTTAAAAAACTACACAAAGTTTTACAAATATGTTGTATATAATCACACTTCTTGTTACCTGGAAAAGAACTTAATAGCCCTGAAGTTTAATCTACACAAGAATCTATCTTCAAACGAAAGTAAGGACTTTTGTATTTAATTGAAATTTAAACTGAGATCTAAATTTGAAACGCTTTTCCCTTTGTGTTTACAGTTTACGACACAGAATTTACAACAAAAGTAAAATACAATCCACCAAACGTGAGAGCATGTAATGACTATTGCAAGCATCCTCAACCTCGTTTTCATCTGCACAGTGAATATACAAAGGTTGTTTTAAATTATCTCTTTATCCCATTCACTCAATGCTTGCCTGGTTGCAAAGCAACAAAAAACACAAAGAACATCACAACATGAATCCCAAATGGTTCAACCCCGTTGAAAGTCATTAAAGAACATAAATCTTGCAATCTCTTGAACAAAAAAGTCCAGGAGAGTACGCCTTATCGTAGCAGACGCAGTAATACAGGTAAAAAATTTTCAGTTATGATTGAAAAATTTAACCAAATAGCGTTATGTGTGTGTAATTAGATGTGCACAACTTTTGAGAAAAATTGCAAAATAATCATGTTTTACGATTTGCTTCATGAACTTATTTCCATAAAATTTCTCTACAGAAAGTCGACCCCTCGTGCTAAATAAAGGATCATTTGTTTACATCAAATCACCTAAAATGATGCTAGTTGCCTTCATTCTTTTGACTGTCCTCATCTCAATACTCATTCTGGACTGTAATCTGTGTCATCGTAAGAAAGGAATAATGTATTCTATGAAAAGTTGTGGAAAGAATGAAGAGTGTGAAGACTGCGTAAGAAGACAGCAGACTATGATAGAAATGGTTTAAGTATCAGTAGTTTTTGTGTCACATTTCTACTAAAAAGGAAGACATGAATGAATAAAGCATCTGAAACCAGGTCCCATCGGAAAATGTGGGGATTGGGCAGGCTGCAACCCCCTTTCAGTAATTTCCAAAATTGTTGTGAAAATTTAATAAGCCCAGCTTTTTCCCGAATCTTCTAGGAGAAAGTCACATACCGTAGAGTCTCGAAATAATAAGCTGCCCGGGCTATTTTAATTTTAAAAAGGTGGCTAATTTAATGATGCGGCTACTTTCAGTGCAAGGATATTTCGAGACTCTAAGATATTTGAATTTTCAGACTTCCCTCCCCCCCATTCTTAGTTAGAGCTTCCGACGGCGTCGAAAACAAGAAATGGCTGAACATTGTGTTGTGCGACAAGATGAATGACGTACAACTCATGACACTCCATGCAACGCTATTAAACTATATGGATTGTTTTCAGCAGAAACTGTGAGCGTAATATTCTAATAATTGGATAATATTCTAAAAGCTGTATAACATTTGCACTAATTTCTGCCAAGTCAACATTTATACTAGATATTTTTAATTAAATTAAATTTTCTTTTAGTGATATTAAACTGGAATTCATGATTATAGTGAATGTTATGAAAGTTGACGTGTTTTGAGAGCAGTAAAATGGGAAAGTTTTGTTGTTGCATATTCTAGAAACTTTTTGCTCATCTTGTGGGCATCCACTGAAGAAGGTTTTTAAAAGCCTTTTTTCCTCGTAAACCAGAATATTAAGAGCAAAAGAAATGATCAAAGCTGACTTTGCAATATTTTGAGAGAAATGAGCTGCCTGAATTACTTATTACAAGGTTAAATAGTTGGAATGTTATTAAACAAAAAGTATGATAGCACAACGCTATAACCAACAACTACAAAATATAACGACCTTATCTAACAACATTTGAGAAATTAACCTTCCACTCCTCTTCCTTGTAAACGATACAAGTCTACTCAAAAGCAGGGAGCCTTACACGCTACAAGTCCCGGGCTTGTGATCGGTATAGCAGAGTTAAAAGGTGGAAGGTTTATCATAGATTAATCAACTGAATATTCCTCCTCATTTTTTTGTTTTGAAGCATGTTGAACAGTTCATATGGACAAAGCTCGAATTCCATATTAAATATCAGTAACATAATCCGGTGTTAATGTTAGACAATACATCATTGCCTTTCAAGTGCACATACAGCTATTTTTAGTTTTTTATTCTCAAATAGATTTTGGATAAATAATACAAATGCCGTTTACAGAATTTGAATAACTTTTTTCGTTTTTGAGTTATCTTTCGGCAAAGATGCGAATAAAACCTGAATTTCAACGTTTTGTAAAAAATGTCGAGAGCTCTAATCCGTGGCATGGGACTTACTTGTGACGTCATTTAAGGAACACAGACTGACTGCCAAAACAACTTACACTGTTTATGCATGTAAACAAACACAAAAATGCCAGATCGATGTGTAGTTTTTGGTTGTTCTGACGTAGCCAGTTCGGAGAAAGGCATTTCACTTCATCGCATACCATTTTAACGACGAAAGAGCGAAGCTAAGCGTAGAAGAAAGCGATGGGTCAACTTTGTGAAAGCTACTCGCGATAAGTGGGTCCCCACAAAGAATTCCGCAGTTTGCTCGGAACACTTCACAAAAGATTCGTTTTCTCGGCAATTCGGCTCGCTTTCTGAATCAGAAAGTAATTTTTCACCTCGACTCATTCGAGATGAATTCGGAATCGTTGCTTACCCGAGCATTTATTCTCGAAAAGATGACAATGAACTTACAACAAGAGATCGCAGAATGGTGAGTACGTTAAAAATTATACATATGCATATAAACATTTTACCTGGAATTTGTGTGAGAGTATATTTCATAAATATATGTCATTTTACATGAAAAGAAAGTGGATGTCTGATAATAAAAGAGAGGTTGAATCAGAAAATATTCCAAGTACAAGTAGCGAACCTCAAGAGCAAATAGAAGAAACAACTTGTGGTGAGCCTGTATTAGAGAAGGTAAACTTATATAAAAATTACGCCACTGCTGTAAAGGTTAACGTAAATTATTGTTTTGTATATGTATTGCTGTTGTTTCTAATTTAGGAAGTACTGTAATGTATCAATCACCATGACAATGTTAAAATAGTGGTGATTGTTAAATAAATCAAAGTTAAACAGCTTATTTAATCAGTCACTACCTTGATGACACAAATAATGTGTGCCAGTATGTAATGTCATTGTATTTATTGATAGCTACTATTGAATTTCATAAATTGAGTTTTTTTCTTTTGTAGAGTGCTCAACAAAGACACCAACCTAAGAACAGAAAAAAAATTCATTGTGTTCTTCACCCAACTGTTTGAACTTTTTAAATTCTGCCCAATTTGCAAATCAGATGATGTTCTTGTTGAGATATTGCAAAATGATTCAATGGCAAAAGTGAAAGTTAGTTGTTCCAATCAAAAATGTGGAGCAGCCACAACATGGAATAGTCAACCAGTCATGACTGGGACTTCCATTCCTGCTGGAAATTTGCTATTGTCATTTGCTATTTTTACTGCTGGAACCTCTGCCACAAAGGTGATCAGAGTTCTAAAGCATGAAATGACATAAAAATGAAAGGCCATAAAAATATAATGAACTGTCCAAAAAACCGAAAGTAACCAGTTTTTTAGGACCTGGTGGTATGAGCCCAGTTAGTTGGGATTCAGTGAAGTGTGAATTGACTGCATGGAAAGAATAAAGAGAAAGGAATTGTAATTTTGTATGTTTTGTATAACAAGTATAAGTGTGAATCGAAGATGCAATATATCAAGAGTGGCTTAAATCATTCCACACTTTACTGAATCCCTACTAGCTGGGCTCATGCAAACAACTCCTAAAATGATATATAATGTTATGTTATTTTACAGATTGTCCTCTTCATACCCTGCAAACTGTTCATTTTTTTTAAATTAAAAGTTTTCGAATAACATGGTAAGCACAAGCTGGAAGTGGAATTCTTTTGTCTCAAAGAATGCCATGTACCATTCTTGTAAATTGTCTATATGCAGCAACTCGAAAAACCTGAAAAGGCATAATACACAAGGCCATTAAAACAGGTTGGAGTCCATAAAATACAAATTTTGCAAGTGTGCATTCATAGATAACCCAGACAGAAGCATTTAACTATTAATTCTAACAAACCTTTGCTCCAAGAATCCTTTATGATATCTAACTCCATCTCGTCTTTGGTAAAGATTGGCAGCTAAATTTAATGCCCATCGATTGAGGCAAATGGCATCAAATCCTTGATGCTCTGTTATGCATTTTGGCTGCCTTCCTAATTCGGATACCACCATATGATCTTGCATTTCAATCATGCAATTGGCAATTTCGTGGCAGCATCTACATTCTTTTGGATTAACTAAGAGAGGAACACGGCAGTTACCACAATTGCACCTACGAAAGTTATCTGTCAAAAGCTTCGGCAACAATAAATAAACAAATTTTCCAACTTTTCTTACCAAGAATCAAGAGGAACTTCATTTTGCATTCTGCGTTCGAGATCTTCTTTTTGTCTTTTCTTCTTCTGTCTCTCTAATATAGTTTTCTAACCACTCTTCATCTGCAAGTGGTTCGTTTTCATACGCTTCAGCTTGGCCATTCTCAAAATCGCCATCGGTGTTTCGGAGCGCATTTGATGACGATTGATCTTCGTCTTCTAAATCGAATTCCCGACTGTTCAATTCAATATTTTTCGCTGTTGTTGCTGTACTCGACTCAGAATCAGATGTGGACATGTTTCGTACATTTTTTATATTAATTTCAAAGCAATATATAAAGAATTGTTATTTCACACTATGTTGTTTTGTATGCAGCGCATTCATACGTTCCTTAAATGACGTCACAAACCTCTCGTTTTAAGTCCCCTCAGCGGCGCGGAAATTTCTCAAAAGCAAGCTAATTCAAACCGCAAAAAAAACTTTGTTTTTTCTTTTTTTACGAAATTTTTTTCGAAATCATATTTTCCACAGTCTAAACTTTTAAAATTTCAACGAATTTGGAAAGACTGTATGTACACTTTCAGTGAAAGCATCCCGCTTTCCACTGGAAAAGAATGAATCTAATATCGATGTTAAACATAGATTGTTACAAGCATCCCGCTTGCCGATATGTATAAGTATAATCACAAGGTTAAATAGTTGGAATGTTATTAAACAAAAAGAATGATAGCACAACGCTATAACCAACAACTACAAACATTTCTTTCATTAAATCATTCGACACCGCTTCCTTTAGTAGTAATTTAACACTTTTTTGTAAATATAATATCTTGTCTTCACATCCCATTTATTATTTGTCTGAAGAGGTCTTGAGTAAAGACGAAAACGTCACAATAAATTTAATTTTACAATTTTTCTGGTCTATTTCTATGGCTCTAATCACAACTTTATGTTGGGCATTAATTTTTATCACACAAATTGCTTTTGTGTTTTCCTCACAGCGCATGCTCAATAAATCTCATATCAAACCGAAATGGCGGCTTCCTCGAATGAGTTAAATTCTGTGTCATTTTCTGATTCCGATGAACAAGACGAAATAGCACTTTTATGCCTGTTGCTAATTCGTCGTAGACGCAGGCGTTTACCAGCTTCTTGTCGTAAAACATGGACGAAGCGGTGGATTATGAGACGAGAAGCGCAAGGCGCATTTAATAACCTCATAGTCCACCGCTTCGTCCATGTTTTACGACAAGAAGCAAGAAGTTGATATGAGATTTATTGAGCATGCGCTGTGATGATAACACAAAAGCAATTTGCTTCAAGACGCCGCACACGGACAAATCGACAAAGCATTTCGCCACGCGTGGCAAAAAATATCAAACATGTTTGATATTTGCCAGTTCTGCCTGGAAAGGCAAAAGTCGTCGGAAACAGTACGCGCACACGAGAGCAACTTGCTCACGCCACTTGACACGAATGACATTTTGCTAAGCACATAGCTCTCGTGTGCGCCGGGCTTAAAGAATTTGACACATCTTTGTTGCCCAGCTATATAAAAACAAACGAAAAGAAAAATTTACCGCGGAATTCGCCAGCAGCAAATCAACAATTACATCTCAATTAAATAGCTATGTAACTTGGCATTTCGACAATTCATTCTACTTGTAAATTCTTCCCATTTCATATTACTCACAAAACATGATAAATTGATAATTCAGTAATGTCTACGTAAAAATATAATGTGCCGACGTAGGATCGTTTAATTGAGAGATATGATTAACAATGTAAATATTTACTTTTTAAGCAAGTTGGGAGAAGGATAGGCCAGCATGAACATTGTGCATGATATGAGAGAATAATTATGCTATGGGCCCACGCTTTCAGATTCTTCTTTATGATTTGAATTTTACAGTAACTTAAATAAGTGAAGCAAAAAATGGTTAAACAGTAAGAAATCTTAAGATTTTAAGTGCCAGTTTATAATTTAATAGCGACATAAAATACTTCAATATAAAACTGGTTGATTACAGAGTTTTGATGAGCCATCTTCAATGGTTCAGGGATGAATAAACATTGATTGTATAGTAAATAAGCAATTAAATGAGAGTACCTACTTATTGTACTGAAGTTGTGAACTAAAGTTGCGAAGTACTAGCAAACGCGAAAGGTCTATAAACCCTGTGGACATTTGGCAATGAATCTGTTCAGTAAGCAAGGAAAAGCTTTTGCAATTCTAATCCGTTTGAAGGCCCTCTATAAGTGTTATAATGCGATATACAGTAAATGTGGCACTAGAAGAGTATCGTAAATGGGGCGCTCTATGAGTGTTATAATGCGATTTACAGTAAATGTGGCACTAGAAGAGTATCGTTGGGTTTTAAATGCAGTAGTACCCTGCATACTGTGCCCTCGACGTCTGTTGCCACTCGTAACAACTACAAGCGACTCATCAAAGAAATGCATACGGTTGCAATCAATCAATGAAATATTTGCTACGTAAGCTTCTAACTTCTCCATAACGTCCGGCCGTTCTATTTCTCGAGGAATTTGACTTATTATCTTGTTAGAGTAACCAAGATCTTTTTTCGAAATTCTACTAATGGATGACCTGCTAGGTATGTTTGCTGGAAGGCAAACTTTGTTATTTTCTAGGTGTTGCTGAATCTCTTTTGCGTAAATAGATGGTTTGTTAATTTTTAGATATTCAGCGTATGCAATAGCGTCATCTGTACGCGTGGTTCGAACATCACGTTCGCCCAGGCGAGATGCAATAGAACCAGTGTCTACCCATAGATCTATTATATTTGATATAGTCTTATACGGTAGACTTAGTTGTTTCAAAATGTTTGTCAAACGCTGGTTATTTAACCACCTTTCAAGTATTTCATTTCTTACTTCTATCGCTAAAGCTTTTCCTTGCTTACTGAACGGTTTTATTGCCTAATGGCTACAGGATTTAAAGACCTTTCGCGTTTGCCAGTACTTTGCAACTTTAGTTCACAACTTCAGTACTCAAGTACACAACTTCAGTACTCAAGTACACAACTTGTCAACTCAAGTTGACAAGTTCATATCGAATATTCCATATTTGGAAATGTAACCATTGATTGTATAGTAAATAAACAATTAAATGAGTGTACCTACATAATGATTACATATGAATGACATTCCGTTCAAATATATTCATAGTACTTATCAAAATATAGGATGTCTTTGAAGACTATTTTCCATCTCAATTGTGGTTAAAATCTTAAATTTTTGAGGTTTATAAAACCATGCTATTGAAATTAGAGAGTATAAAAAGACTTTTCAGAACTCATTATTTATAAAAGCGAAGCTAAGTTGTGAATTTTAAGAGAGACAATATACATGGCATTGTACAAAATATCTTTGAGAAATCAGCTTGTAAAAACAAAAGAAATGGGTGAGCAATGCATGTTTATTAATGATGGAGAAAATGCATCAATTTAGTCTTCAAAAACTTATTTAATCATTATCTTATAAAAAAGTTAAAGATACTTTCATTTGTGATGACAAATTTGTTTGATGACATAATTCTACGATTAATGAATTTATTTTGTCAAAATATAATTGAGTGATTTACTGAAACACAATACACCATAACCCAATATCCCTTGTATTTTTTCACGATAAAATAAATGCTTCATAAAATGAGCAGTTCACGTGTGCAACAATGAGCATTAGACGATGAATTTTCTGAAAAACAATCTGTGTCTTCTTTAGGTGTCTTTATCAGATTCAAATATACATGTATAATATGTGTGGTGTTCATGAGCAAGAATGTGCATTGTAAAACAGAGAACGAGACTACTAACAATAAACCAGGTACAAAAACAAATAATGATTTGAATCATGATGAAAATAAGTTAACGTTAATATTCATTTTCTATAGTGTCAGTCCTCAAGGAAGAAGTTGTCTCTATTTATAATGAAAACTTCACTGACATTCCCAAGGACAGGGAGCCATATTATGTTAAAGTTCAACGATGTGTCATCGAAAAAGATAAAATTCCTATATGTTCATTATGTTGGCCCCAACCTATGACATTGACAGAAGTCGAGATTGTCGTTCCTGATTTAAAAAACTACACAAAATTTTACAAATATATTGTATGTAATCACACTTCTTGTTACTGGGAAAACACCTTAACAGCTTTGAACTTTAATCTACACAAGACTCTATCTTCAAACGAAAGTAAGGACTTCTGTATTTAATTAAAATTTAAACTGAGATCTAAATTTGAAACGCTTTTCCTTTTGTGTTTACAGTTAACGAAACAGAATTTACAACAAAAGTAAAATACAATCCACTAAACGTGAGAACATGTAATGACTATTACAAGCATCTACAACCTCGTTTTCATCTGCACAGTGAATATTCAAAGGTTGTTTTAGATTATCTCTTTATCCCATTCACTCAATGCTTGCCTGGTTGCAAAGCAACAAACGACACAAACAACATCAAAACACAAACCCTAGATGGTTCAACCCTATATGAACTTGTCAGGAATCACTCATCGTGCAATTTTTTGGAATACAGAAGTCTATAAAAGTCCACCTTCTAATAGCACACGCAGTGATCCAGGTAAAAAATTTTCAATTATGATTGAAAAATTTAACCAAAAAGCGTACTGTGTGTAATTAGATGTGCACAACTTTGAGAAAAATTGCAAAATAATCATGTTTTACGATTTGCTTCATGATCTTATTTCCATAAAATTTCTCTACAGAAAGTCGACCCCAGGTGCTAAATAAAGGGTTATTTGTTTACATCACATCACCTAAATTGATGTTAGTTGCCTTCATTCTCTCGACTGTCCTTATCTCAATACTCGTTCTGGACTGTAATCTGTGTCATCGTAAGAAAGGAATAATGTATTCGATAAAGAGTTGTGGAAAGAATGAAGAGTGTGAAGACTGCGTAAGAAGACAGCAAACTATGATAGAAATGGTTTAAGTATCAGTAGTTTTTGTGTCACATTTCCGCTATAAAGGAAGACATGAATGAATAAAGCATCTGAAACCAGGCCCATCGGAAGCTGTGGGGTTTGGGCAGGCTGCAACCCCCTTTCAGTAATTTTCAAAATTGTTGTGAAAATTTAACAAGCCCCAGCTTTTCCCCATATCTTCTAGGAGAAAGTCACATACTGTAGAGTCTCGAAATAATAAGCTGCCCGGGCTATTTTAATTTTGAAAAGGTGGCTAATTCAATGGTGCGGCTACTTTTAGTGGAAGGATATTTCGAGACTCTAAGATATTTGAATTTTCAGACCCCCCCCATTCTTACTTAGAGCTTCCGACGTCGGTTAAAATAAGAAATGGCTGAACATTGTGTTGTGCGACAAGATGAATGACGTACAAATCATGACACTCCACGCAACGCTATTAAAGTGTATGAATCGTTTTCAGCAGAAACTGTGAGCTTAATATTCTAATAATTGGATAATATTCTAAAAGCTGTATAACATTTGCACTAATTTCTGCCAAGTCAACATTTATACTAGATATTTTTAATTACATTAAATTTTCTTTTAGTGATATTAAACTGGAATTCATGATTATAGTGAATGTGATGAAAGTTGACGTGTTTTGAGAGCAGTAAAATGGGCAAGTTTTGTTGTTGCATATTTTAGCAACTTTTTGCTCATTTTATGGGCATCCAATGAAGAAGGTTTTTAAAAGCCTTTTTTCCTCGTAAACCAGAATATTAAGACTAAAGGAATGATCAAGTCAGTTGGCAGATCATCATTTCAATAGCTTTCCTTTTCAGTGATAAGTTTATGGATTAGGCTGACTATTATAACAAAGAACGTCCAATTAGATTAGAAAAGTAAATTTAGTAAAGTCAAAAGAACCAGTTGAAACTTTGGTTACCTTTCATGCACGAGAATGTGTTTATATAACCGCGTTTTCTTTTCTTTGATTGTGGACTAACTCAAGCATGAATAGACTACTTTAAGTACAAAGAGTAAATAGATAAAATCTTGGATAATAACTGAACCAAATGCAATAATGACCAAATCAATTCAAGTGTTTTAGGGAACAAACAACATTTTATTTGCAAAGGTAGTGGCAAGAAAATTGTTATTTTTGTAGGATAAAACGTTTGTTACTTGCACCGCAATTAACGTAGCCGATAATCCGTCTTATGTCCAGCGTATCAGTGGCGTGCGTCAAGAAGCCAGAGTAGGTCCTGGGACCAATGGGAAAATACTGGCCCTTCTTAAAAAATATTAGCTATTGCGCAACAGAAAATTATTTCATAAGAATCCTAACTATCTTCTCCTTTCTCTTTTGAGTTATAAATATCATATTTTCCTTCATAAATTATTTAATTATATGTTTAAAAGATAGTTATATTGAGTTTCATTGAAGTTGATTTAAATTTTATATAAATGGTTGGTCATTAAATAAATAGATCAGTAGCTAAATCATTGCTAATTTTATGCTGATTACCAAAGAATAACACGTGCAAAATGTTAATATGGCGGACAATTTTTAAATTCTTTCCAATTCAAAAATAAAGCAAAGGAATGGACCGTTTTCGCCCTCCACGAATTAATAAATGACACACAAGAATGACGCCGAATCATCCAACAAATTTAACTTTGTTGCATTTTTAAAACGTTGTATAAAACGTCAAACTCACTTGACCTGTCTCGCATTGAAGGTCACAAAAGTCGTTTAACTGTCTCAATTCTGAAGAGCTAGACAGTATTTTGAAAGAATTGATTAGTGACAAATGACTTAGGAATGTATCTTAATTTGCCAATCACAACAAATGATAACCACAAGCAAGTTAAGAATTTTTAATTATGTCGCGTATTATTTATTATTTGCATGTGTTATAGTAATCAATAAACCTTTCGTTGCTTTTTAAATTGATAATAAGCTGAAGTTTTTATATTGCAGGAGATTATATTTTAGGAATGAAAAAAAAATAGTGAAAAGCACTTTCTAGCCAAAGTGAATTAAAAAAAATTAATGCTTGTTTTAATGCAAATTGCCACCACTAAAACGTTACAATCGGGAACAACTGAATACATGAGTATCCTCTCCCTCCCCTCCCCAATTTACTGTTCTGTAGACGGTCCTGCTTTCACGTATTAAACTTGGTATCCAAGGATAGTGCAAAGTGTTAAAATATGCTCTCATATTCTTCCTGTAATTAGCAAATAATTAAGTCAAGTGTAACGAAGGAAAAACACTTGGTAAACAGTTAAACCATCCAAACGATACAATTTGAAACGATTAATTTTTTAAAGACGAAAACTAGAAAAGTGAAAGCCAACCCGTAAAAACAACAAGGACGAGAAAGAAGGCAAGCTTTGTTTCAGGTGAAATAATGCCATGTAATAATCTTTTGAATAACGTCGCTTTCTCGGTGTTTACTGAGAAATATCAGACCTTTGTCTTTTTCTACAAACCTCGCCCTACGGGCTCGGTCTGTACAAGAAGACATCAGTCCGATATTTCTCCGAAAAGACCTCGCGCTCAGCTATTAATGACTTAGTATTGTAACTGGATTTCAGGGAAATTACATCGGGATTTCGGGGTGACTATGGTTGAATTCGAGGGAGCTAGTTAAATAGCAGAATTTTGGGCTCAATACAATTATTTTACTCGCACGCCCTATTTAAATCTCACCTTGTCTTGAAGCAAAAGAAACAGTTGGGGTTACCCAGATAATATGCAAACAATGGCAGCAAATATATTAGATAATCACAGCGAATATATAAATGACTATGTTCAGTATAGAGTCACTCATTATTCAAAAATATGAAGACAATAGACTAAAAAACAGTCGATATGTAAAAGAAAAATCTCAAAACGCAGCAACAGCTGTGATATATACTCAATACACACTTATCATCGTATCAAACATTTAAATGTCAGTACACTTTCACGATACTTAAAATTTATCTTTATATTCGGTACCTTCTTTAAGTTACAGCATTCTTTATTAACCTCTTCTACAAAACGCTTTCAAAGCCTCGGTAAAAGTACATTACTTACATTGAAAACAGCAGCGTGCTTCTGTGTCTCATCCTCGTCATTATTGAAACCCAAAATGAAGCATTCGACTGCATTGCGTAAACTTTAATTATTGTACTCACAGATTACCAATTGGCGAATTATCAAAGTCATTGTATCTCTTAATTCTCAAGTGAAGGTAGTTATTGTTTAGCAATGCTAGAGAGCATGAACACTTCTGCTTTATACAATACATATGCATAAAGAATTGTTAATGAGTTCAATAGAGTTATTAATATGAAATTCAGCAGTATTATTCTATTGAAATGCTGTCACTGTTTGCTTATTGGTGGGTTGCAACCATCCTCCTGAGAGTAAGAGAACAATGGAATGCTGGCGATGTTGGATGAAATTAGCATTGTAAATAAGGAAAATCCTTTGTTAAAATCATCCAACATGTCGACTATGACGTAGCTTGCAACCCAAGAATTGCTTTGATTACCCTACGTCTTAACTTTCCTTCACTTTTGATGAATTTGAGACATGCACTCCTATATATATAGAGAACATGAAAAAATACTGAAAAGTGTATTAGTGAGTAAAGGCAGTTATTTTTAAAAATTATTTTAGTATCGAGTAGGATTTTCTGCATGCTGTTGTTAATACGACTTTATCCTTTCTTACATCGCAAAATAAAGTTACTGAACTTATGAATATTAATATTAAAGAATGCAAAAGTCGACCCCCACCCCTCAGAAATGTATTTTATTTCACATACAGAACAACTCCTCACATGAAAGGTGTTACGACAATTGCTCTGCATGACGATGGCAATGAATGGTGAATCGCAACCGCTGATAGAGATGGAGTCATTAATATTTGGAATTAAACGTTTAGAAATAAGATATTTCGTTCAAGCAACAAAATCTGAAATGAAACCAAGAAACATCTAGTTGTGGAAAATAATCTCGGAATAAGATTATGAACATGCTTAACTTTATGAAGGCTAAAAATCACTAAAGGCTGCTTCTTAGCATACACATATAGTAATTGATGTAACTCTAATACGCATGGCATAATTTGACCTTTCAAGTATAGTTTTATTTGTTACGTTATACGGTTACATAAATTGAAATAAAACAGGAAAAAACTTATTAAAATATTTATTTCGAATACAACAAAAAACGAATAAACAAAAAGTAAAAGAACAATCCAATCAATTAAAACTTACCTGTTTTAACACTGATAAGTGACTCTCGAACATTCGTCGTAACTCCAATATTTTGCACAACAGGATCTGCGCATGCGCAGGGAAATTTCTGCGCCGTGCTATTTCCTAAACTACTCGGACTACGGTGATGATCTTTAGCTCATGTGAAAGCTGTCGACGAGCCCTTTCGAATGAGCTATTGAAAATCGTCGTAAATCCACTATTTTGCGAGATAGGATCTGCGCATGCGCGAAGGCATCTCTATGCATGCGCAGTGTTACCTCCTAAACTAAGAGTGAAGTGATGTGCCGTAAACAGAGATGATGAGTCAGCACGGGCGACGAGTTAGTAATATAAGTAATTAACAATTTAACAGTTGCACGTAGCACATATCGTCATGAAGCAAGAAATGTCACTCAACTGTTATTGGTTAGTTTCAGTACATTTAATCGCAAATAGCAATGTACTACAAATTATGTAACAACAACGTAAAATTCAGTAAGAGTGAAAAATTCTCTGATAAATTGTCTGCAATAAATTTCATACGTTTTCCTCCTCGCTATATGATGACGTATAATTGTAGAAATTGGAAAACTCAAAAGCCTTCTCGTGGCTTAGCAGCTTAGCTCTAAATTTAAAACGGCTGAAGTTGAAGACGAAACGTCGACAGTAATCACCCTTACCATTACTTTCGCGATGGCCGTATTGAAAAATCATAGCTACGTCTGTCATGCTTATTATAAAAAGCTGACGTCAGTCAGAGTTAAGTTGACTCTGAAGATGAGTACCGCTAAGGTTGTCGAAACGTCAGTCAACATCCATACCAACAGTCGTCCTCAGGACTTTACTAACCTGGATGATCTTCATCCACATAACATGTTAAAATACTCCCGGGGTTAAACCATTCACTTTATTACTGTTTTGTGTTAGTGACCTGTCATTTTTTTGGTGAAACTTCCAACATTGTGAAAATATTAGCCTGTTAAGACCAATACATACGTCGAAGACACGCGATATCAATGACCATCGCACACGTGATGACAAACATTGCCTACAGCTGTGAATCAAGGAATATATTTGGACAAATCGATTCTAAAAGAAGCGTTAAGTGATTTCTAGGCAGCCGATGATGTATAAACAATTGACAAGCTTGAAATCGTCAGCTTGCAACGTATCACTTATGTCACAGGTCATAAAATTGCCGTGTTTTTCCTAACTATTTTTAATTGCATTATTGCCTCCGTGGAGAATATTAATTACGTACGCACTCTCCAAAAACTCGTTTCATGTACTACTTAAATAAATATTACAGCATCAATATTGTTGCCAACGAAGTGCCAGGTGGGAAACGTATTCTCAATATAAATATTAGAGCCCAACAAATAATTTTAAACATAGACATAAACAATTTGGTTTTATGAAATTTATTAAAAGAGTGACGTTTCGTCTTTACTCAAGACATCTAGTTAGTCTGAAGACACCTAATTGGTCAAGACACATTTTACTCAAGACACCTAATTAGTCTGAAGATATCTTGAGTAAAAACGAAACGTCACTCTTTTAATAAATTTCATAAAACCAAATTGTTTATGACTGTTAGGTTTTGTGATGTAGCCATGTACCTTCTTTAGTATAATTTGACTTACACCAACAAATGTTACAGATAACTATACGATAACATTTAATGTTCAACGTCTTCTATTTTACAATGATTTAACTACTCCTATTTATACAAAATTTACGTAA